AAGACACATGCAGACTGAAAGTCAAAGGATGAAAAAAGATATTCCATGATATCAGAAAGCTCTCTGCTATGGCCTGGGAAAGCAGGAGAGGATGGTCCAAGTCTTTGGGCCCCTACTCCCACGTGGGAGACCTGGAGTTAGCTCCTGGCCCGGATCAATGCAGCTCCGGCCATTGCGGCCAATTGGGGAGTGGACTATCAGATGGAAGACCCCCCTCTCTCTCTTTCCTCTCTCTCTCTGCCTCTCCTCTCTCTGTGCAACTCTTTTGAATAAATAAATAATAAATAAATCTTTTAAAAAAAACCTACTTTCAGCAATGGACAGATCAAGCAAACAGAATATCTGCAAGCAAACAGTAGAGTTAACACTATAGACCAAATGGACCAAACAGATAACTACAGAACTTTTCATCCTACAAATGCAGAATGCACATTCTTCTCACCAGTGCATGGAACCTTCTCTAGGGTAGACCACATGCTAGGCCATAAAGCAAGTCAAAGCAAATAAAAAAATCAAAATCATATCATGCATCTTCTCTGACTACAATGGAATGAAGCTGGAAATCAGCAACTCAGTAATCTCTAGAACATATGCAACACATGGAGACTGAACAATATGCTCTGAATGAACAGTGGGTCACTGAAGAAATCAGAAAAGAAATTTAAAAATTTATGGAAATGAATAAAGATGAAAATACAACATAGCAAAACTTATGGGATATGGCAAAAGCAGTGTTAAGAGGAAAGTATATAGCAATTGGTGCCTATATCAAGAATTAGAAAGATACCAAATAAATGAGCTATCAATGCATCTCAATGATGTAGAAAAACAATAACCAAACTCAAAAACAGTACAAGAAAGAAATAATGAAAATTAGAGAACAAAAAATTGAAACCCAAAAATTCAAAAGATCAGAGAAAAGTGAAGCTGGCTTTTTGAAAAAATAAAACTGACATTGGCCCAACTAACCAAAAAAAAAAAAAAAAAAAAAGAGGAGACCTAAATCAATGAAATTGATATGAAAAAGGATATGGAATAGATACCACAGAAATAAAAACAATCATCAGAAACTACTATAAATAGCTGTATGCCAACAAAATGGGAAACCTACAGGAAAGAATAGACTCTTGGACACATACAACTTAACTATATTGCGCCATGAAGACATAGAAAACCTAAACAAAACAATAAGCAAAACAGAAATTGAATTAAGAATAACTACTCTCCCAGCAAAGAAAAGCCCAGAACCCAGTGGCATCACTGCTGAATTCTACCAGACATTTAAAGAAGTACTAACTCCAATTCTTCTAAAGCTATTCAAAAACAATTAAAAGGGACGGAATCCTCCTAAATTCTTTCTATGAAGCCAGCATCACCTTAAATCCTAAACCTGGAAAAGATACAACAGAGAAAGAGAACTACAGACCCGTTTCTCTGATGAATATAGATGCAAATTCCAATCAAATCCAACATCAGAAAGATCATTCACTTAGACCAAGAGGGATGGTTCAACATTCACAAATCAATGTGATACAGCACATTAACAAATTGAAGAACCAAAACCATATGATTATCTCCATAGATACAGAGAGCATCTGATAAAGTTTAACACCCTTTCATGATGAAAACTCTAAGCAAATTGTATATAGAAGAAATATTCCTCAAGGCAATGTATGAAAAACCCAAGACCAGCTTCATAGTGAATGGGGGAAAGTTGGAAGCATTCCCACAGAGATCCAGAACCAGACAAGGATACCCACCCTCATTATTGCTATTCAATGTCACCCTGGAAGTTTCAGCCACAGTCATTAGGGAAGAAAAAGAAATCAAAGGGATACAAATTAAAAGGGGGACGTCAAACTATCCCTGTTTAGAGATGACATGATTCTATATATAGGGGATCCAGAAGACTCCACTAAGAAACTACTGGAAATCATAGAAGAGTTTGGTAAAGTGGCAGGATATAAAATCAACACACAAAAATCAACAGCCTTTGTCTACATAGACAATGCCATGGCTAAGAAAGAACTTCTAAGATCAATCAAAAAAAATCAAATGCCTTGGAATAAATTTAACAAAGGATGGCAAAGATCTCTACAATGAAAATTACAAAACATTAAAGAAACAGAAGCCACAAAAAAGAAAAAAAAAAAAGGAAAAATCTTCCATGTTCATGGGTTGGAAGAATCAGTGTCATCACATTGTCCACACTAGCAAAAGCAGTTTACAGATTCAATGCAACCAACCAACATGCCAAGGACATTCTTCTCAGATACAAAAAAAAATGCTAAAATTCATATAGAAACACAGGAAACCTCGAATAGCTAACGGAATCCTATACAACTAAAAAATGGAGGCATCACAATACCAGATTTCAAGACATACTACAGGGCAGTTAGAATCAAAACAAACTGGTACTGGCCAAAAACAGATGGATAGACTAATGGAATTGAATAGAAATGCCAGAAATCAACCCACGCATCCATAACCAACTTATCTTTGACAAAGGAGCTAAAATCAATCCCTGGAGCAAGGACAGTCTCTTCAACAAGTGGTGCTGGGACAACTGGATCTCCACACGAAGTATGAAGAAGGACTCTTACCTTCACCTTATACAAAGATCTGCTCAAAATGGATTAAAGATCTAAATCTACGATGCAATACCATCAAATTATTAGAGAACATTGGGGAAACCTTGAAAGACACTGGCATAGGCAAAGAGTTCTTAGAAAAAAACCCCAGAGGCACAGGTAAGCAAAGTCAAATTGACAGTGAAATCACATGAAATTAAGAAGCTTCTGTATTGCAAAAGACACACTCAAAGTGAAGATGAACCAACAGAATGGGAGAAATTACTTGCAAACTATGCAATTGATAAAGGATTAATAACAGAATATATAAAGAGATCAAGAAACTCAACAACAATACAAACAACCCAGTTAAGAAACAGGCAAAGGACTCAAACGGGACTTTTTCAAAAAGAGGAAATCCAAACGGCCCACAGACACATGAAAAAATGCTCAGGATCACTAGCCATAAGGGAAATGCAAATCTAAACCACCCCTGTTAGAAGAGCTTTCATACAGAAAACAAATGCTGGCAAGAATGTGGGGAAAAAGGTACCCTAATCCACTATTGGTGGGAACGTAAACTTGTACAGTCACTGTGGAAGACAGTATGGAGATACCTCAGAAATCTGAATACAGACCTACCATATGACCCAGCCATCACACTCCTTAGAATTTACCCAAAACCAAATTAGCATATGAGAGAGTTATCTGTACCCTCATGTTTATTGCAGGTCCATTCACAATAGCTAAGATGTGGAATCAACTGAAGACTGGATCAAGAAATTATGGGATATGTACACTATGGAATACTACACAGCAGTAAAAAAAAATGAAATCCAGTCATTTGCCACAAAATGGATGAAACTGGAAAACGCATCACTTAGTGAAATACTCCGGTCCCAAATGCACATACCATGTTGTCTCTGATCTGTGATAATTAACAGAGCATCTAAAAGGTAATCTGAAATAGTGAAATTAATACTTTGAGATGAAATAACTTTGAACAGCCCATGTTGACATTTGAGGAACATTTTTCTTCTTCATACAATTTGTTGAACTCTTTACATAGTATAGAGTTCACCGTATGTGTTATAAAGTTAACTGCAAATAGATCTTAGTAAAAAAAAGAATGGGACTAGGAGAGGGAGGAGGAAAAGAGCTGGAAGTATGGGTGGGAGGGCAGGTACAATGGGAAGAATCACTACATTCCTAAAATTGTATTTATGAAATGCGTAAGTTTGTATTCCTTAAGTGAAAGTTTTATGGGGAAAAAAACTCTAAATAAAAAAGCAACTAAAAAAACAACGTGAATGTTACAAAATTACACTTAAAATAGTTAAAATTATAAATTTTATGCTGCATTTTTCCATATATACACATAAAACCACCACATAATTACTAGAATAACTAGAAAAAAATTATATAACAACAACTTTGGAAGAAGATGTGAAGAAATTAGGACCCTCAGAGCTTGCTGTGGAAAAATAAAGTGGTACAGATGCTTTATAAAACAGTGCTTAAGGCCGGTGCTGCAGCTCACTAGGCTAATCCTCCGCCTGCGGTGCTGGCACCCCGGGTTCTAGTCCCGGTTGGGGTACCGGATTCTGTCCCGGCTGCTCCTCTTCCAGTGCAGCTCTCTGCTGTGGCCCGGGAGTGCAGTGGAGGATGGCCCAAGTCCTTGGGCCCTGCACCCGCATGGGAGACCAGGAGGAAACCCTGGCTCCTTGCTTCAGATCGGCGTAGCACACCAGCCATAGCGGCCATTTGAGGGTTAAACCAAAGGAAAGGAAGACCTTTCTCTCTGTCTCAAATACCAAAGTACTCAGCAATTCCACTCTGAGGTACATGCCCAAGAGAACTGAAAACAGATGTCAACACAAAAACTTGCTCATGAATGTTCATACAACAATCACGCATTATGGTCCCTAAGTGAAGACCATGTAAATTTATGCCAACTTATGAATGGATTACAACATGTGGTACACCCCACAATGGAATACCGAGGAATAAAAATGTTTAGGAACAGCCAGATGCATGCTACCATACGGATGAACCTTGGAAACACCATGCTAAGTGAAAATCAATCACAGGGGCCAGGTGCTATGGTGTAGCGGGTAAAGCCACTGCCTGCAGCACTGGCATCCCATATGGGCGCCGGTTCTAGTCCTGGCTGCTCCACTTCTGATCCAGCTCTCTGCTGTGGCCTGGGGAAGCAGAAGACAGCCAAACTCCTCTGGTCCCTGCACCTGTGTGGGAGACCCAGAAGAAGCTCCTGGCTTCAGATTGGCACAGCTCTAACCATTGCAGACAAATAGGGAGTGAACCAGCGGGCGGAAGACCTCCCTCTCTCTCTCTCTGCCTCTCCTCCTTTCTGTGTAACTCTTTCAAGTAAATAACTAAAAAAAAAGAAAAAAAAATTTAAATACTAACCAAAAGTCTCGTAAGGCTCATCGTCTTTCTTACTTTCACTGCCACTGCTTGAGATTTCGGAATTATCAGGAAACTCAAACACATCAGCAGGCTTGTGCTTCTGACCAGCTTTCTGGAAGTGAAGAAAACCAAAGTCACTGAACTGGTGCTAACGCACACCAGCAGCAAGCTGCTGGACTTAACAAGGACACTCTTGCTCCTGCTGCCGCCTAGAGAAGCTAGCCACTCTGCTGTTCTCCAGGAGACAGAGGCCTCTGGAATTCTAAGGCCGGCCTGGCAAACCTTTTCTACAAAGCACCAGAGAGCATTTCAGGCTTTGCAGGTCACAAGGTTTCCACTGCAGAGGGAAAGCCCGCAGGGACAGCGCAGCCAGGAATGCGCAGGGCCGGCTTCCCACACAATCTACTCAGAGATGCAGACCTCTGCATTTCACATCATCTTCATGGCACACAACATATCCTTTTTAGTTTATTTTGGCTATTTAAAAATCATCCTTCGTTCCCAGGCTTGTGTATAAAGAGGTAGTAGGCTGGTTTTGCCCCCCAGGCCATAGCTTGCCTAGATCCCTAAAGAGAACGGTGGGCTGTCTCCCCAGAAACATGCCTGCCACCTGGACGTGCACAGCTCTGGGAGCACAGGGGCTGACAGTCCTGGCTGAAGGAGAGCCTGTGTACAGTTCAATATACGGGTAAGGCTCCGGAGGCTGGGGTTCCGGAGGATGCCAGAGGCAGAACAGAGAACAAACGCACTCGCAACTGCCCGACCTCCTGGACTTCATGTGAAATTCCAATGCCACGCGACAGGCCGTTGGAAAATAATTTGGAATTAGCTATCAAGAGCATTAAAGAAATGTACCTGCCATTACATACAGGTATTCTAAAACTCTCCTGAAGAAAAATAAAACTGTAACGTAGACAACATGGAACCTCATGAAATCACAAGCCATTGTCAGTAACACGGAGAAATGGCTGGGAGGAGTGGCAAAATTCAGAAAGCTGTACAATTTTTACACAGTGCTAATTATCTAGATGAAACAAATCTAGGCTTGGAAAAAAAAATGTTTCTAAAATGTTAACAAAGGTTCTTTTCTAACAGTGGAAAAAGTAAGAAAAGGAATAAACTTTTTTTTTTACTACCCTAAAACAGAGCTTATCACGTGAAATACAGAAAACTCTAAGGTCCTCACCAAAGCTTACTTTTATAGTCAACTGTGAGAAAAATCACATTAAAAGCTAAAAAGAGAACTTACTTCTTTCATAGGATGTGTTCTTCTTAAAGTGTTCTTTGAACATACTGCACTGAAACAGGAAAAAATAAAAGTTAGGAAATATTTAAAGCAACCAGGGAAAATACCATAACCTGACTCTCTCCAAGTATTGTCTTCCCAAATTACACTGCTCAGTAGCTGTACTAATAGCGCGCATGCAATGGAACTAAAGTTATGACGAAGAAGCAGAACCCAGACCCTGTAAACATACGAGTCAAATTATATCACCAATACATATAAAGTGACCACCTCGGTCCCTCAAGATCATGGAAAACTTCTAATCCTGCTGTCACGCTGGCCCCTGCACCCGGATCTGTCAGGGAAGACTGACTCTCCGCAGAGCTGAGCCAAGGGGATGGATACCAACATGGATGAGACTCCTCACACCCATTCCATCTGCGCCTGGCCCGGGATCACACAGCTTAACAATCCTATGAAGTAGAGGGGGGCCGTGTGACAGCTCTGCACGGGCACAGAGCAACAGGCAGCCAGGCAGGAGAGGAGCCTGCAGGAAAACCCCATCGGTTCAAATCCACAGCCTACCTTCTTCCCACCCCATAACACTCTCCAGTGACCTTGGGCACACCGTAAAACAGATTAAGGTGCGGATCTTCTAGAAGTGAAAAGGAAGCAAATGCAACAACAGTGACTAGACTAACAACTGAAAACACCAGTGGCAAGAAAAACCTATATTAACATCAGCAGTCAGTGAACAAGCACTGAGCACCCTCCACAGCTGAGGCACTGCATGGGGTATTAGAGATACTTTAGTAGAATCCAGTACTAGTTCCTGGCTTTAAAATACACCTTGCAGTTTTCAAAGACTCCTTTGTGGAGGGCAGTATCAGATTAGTGTGTCTGAACCAATATTCTTCAGGTACTTTATTTGACATGATTTCAAACTGTCTCCCCTGTACCCAGGTTCATCAGTTGCCTTCACCGTCTCTTTTGCTTCCTCTGCCTGTGCAAGGTAAGCACTCCTAACTGAAGTACTTCATATGGCTTCCCTGAGAGGGCATGCACGTGCACAGTCATAGCGGATTTCCAAAATCTAGATATTTCACATTTGCAAAGTGATTATCCAACCTACAGTCCATGTCCAAATCTCATCAGCTCTCCAACACCCTTTAGGATTTTCACCCTAGCATTTTCTTAAAAGGGAAAATCAAGGGAACATAAAATGTAAGATTGCACTGGATAGGATATTTTCATAAACTTTCTGATTTGTTTCATGCGCACCTGCGTACTAACTGCGATGCAAAACATCATTGTGTGAATCACAGTTAAAAAAAAAAAAAAGAAAGCTGGAACACTGTTTAGAGCAGTGGTCTCACGCCTGGCGCCACCCCCAGTTTCTGGCTCAGTAAGTCAAGGGTTGGGTGGAGAGTTCACAGTTCTCAAGTTCCCACGCTTTTTCTGAGTCTCCAAACCTAAAATGGTACAACAAGTATTTGCTCAATGGCAATTTTATGATTCTGGTTATAATTCAGAGGTTCAGGAAAGCTAAATGACTTAGCAATGATGGTAACAGGGAAGTTTTAGTTCAATTAAATTTAGACGAGTTTATTTGGGCAAAGCAAAACCAGAAAGAATTAGGGAATGGAGCAGCCCCAGAAATATAAGCAAGTTCTGAGAACCACCAGCAACCTGAGCGATCACACATCATTAACTTAATTGGCTGCAGCCTACCCAATCAACCAATTGGTAACACCTTATCCAGTTCATTGCATACAGCCCAGTTAGTTAACTGCTACAGAGCTTTCCCCCAGCCACCTAAGCCCAGTGACCGGCTTGACGTTCAGTTCAAATCCATGGCCTCCCACAAAAATCCAGCAATGGCCACACAGTCAAGTAACGTTAGCAGGAAGCAGAAACCACATCAGTACGCGTCTTAACCTAAATTACTTCCAGCTGTCTCTTGCGTGTGCTCAAATCAAAAAATACGCCTTAAGCTGGAGTCCAGGTGAGGCTTCGTTCAAGATGGACGCTTGAGACAACCGTGTTTTCCTGTGCATTTTTGAGGGAAGGGCTCAACACATGCCCTAAGTCTCCATCTCTAACAGGTTTTTAAAAACCTTTCGGCGCCTGGATGCCCTGTAGACAACGCTAGAGAGCCCGGGCGTCCACTCACGAATCTGTGAACGACGAATACGACGTACTTTCCAATGCATGCCCCTTTTGAGAAAAGTTGCTCCCCGCCCTGGAACACTCCCGAAGGGGCAGCTCGGTCCCCGGGCAGGGGTGAGGGCCAGCGTTACAGTCTGCGCTTTGGGGTACGAAGGCAGACACGACCCGCAGGGCTGCAGCCCGTCACGTCTGGGGAACAGCAGGCACCAAGCGCCCGCGACCCTCAGCCACAGGAACCCCAAAGTCTCTCCCACCCGCCAGGCCAGGCGTCACGCCCTGACTCCTCCTAGGAAATCCGCACTGAGAGATGCAAACCGAGGCCCTGGGCGATCTGTCACTTCGACAAGGAAGCTCCACCAGCGCAGCCCCAAAGGCTCAAACCGCGTCAGTCGGAGCGGGACCCGCAGCTCTCACCCTGCAGGCCTCCGGGACCGCACCCGGCCCGGCGGAGCCATCTGGCTGCTCTCTGCTCCCGCGGCGCCCAGAAACTCCCGCCAAGCCCCGCGCCGTTTAGAACGGCCAATCCGGGCCGAGCACGCGCCCCTCCTCCCCTCGGCCTGGGTCCCCCGCCCAGGGCCCGCGGCTCCCGTCCGGCCTTGGGCGTAAGTGAAAACGTGGTCCGGATCAACAACTGCAACGGAGCTGGAGGCCAGGCCTTCAAGCTGCCGCTGACGGGCCACCAGAAGGAATCCCACTTTTCCGGGTTTTCCCTCCCACCCTAGCCGGGGCCTGTTTCTCAAGGCTCCGACGGGGGCGGGGCTAGTGCTGAGACGTGGGCGGGCGCGCAGCAGGAAGGGGCGGATCCCAACCCGAGGCCCCAACTGTAGCTTCAGTTGAGCTGTGAAAGCGGATTGAGCCACGAGGCCCCGGGGGCGTTAGAAGCAGCTGCCTGAGCCCTGTGTGCTCCTGCTTCCCTCCCCAGATCTCTGTAATGGGGCGGGTTCCTACCGGAGCCAATAGTCTGCGATTCTTTTCTTTCTGTTTAAAAAGGCGTTATAATACAAAAAGATGAATTCGCATATAAATAAGATGAATGTAAAAATATAAATCTATGAGAATGTAAATATAAAATGAACTCAAAATGGATCAAAGATCTAAGTGGAAGAGCTCAAACCACAAAACTCTCAGAAAGGAGGACCCTGCTGTGGCGTAGCAGGTAAGGTCATCATCTGCAGTGCTGGCATCCCATATGGACACTGGTTCCTGTCCCGGCTGCTCCAACTCCGATCCAGCCCTCTGCTCTGGCCTGGGAAAGCAGTAGGAGATGGTCTAAGTCCTTGTGCCCCTGCACCCGTGTGGGAGACCCGGAAGAAGTGCCTGACTTGAGATCAGCGCACCTCGGGCCCTTGCAGCCAATTGGGGAGTAAACCAGCAGGTGGAGGATCTCACTTTCTCTCTCTCTCTCTCTCTCTCTCTCTCTCTCTCTCTGCCTCTCCTCTCTGTAACTCTTTCAAATAAATAAATAAATCTTAAAAAAAAAAAAAACTCCTTAGAAGAAAAATAGCGCAAAAGCTTCACAAAATTGGTAATGAAAAGATCCTGGAGATGAAAACTGGATGGCTGAGCAGCCACATGACTCTGCTTAGTGCCATAGAACTGTTCAATTAAAAAACATTTAGCCATGAGCTTTTGGCAAAGAGGTTTAAGATGCCCGTTAGGAGGCCTGGATCTCATTTTGGTGTGCTTGGGTTCTGTTCCCACCTGGCTGATTCCAGCTTCCTGGTAATGCAGCTCCTAACACGAGCTTCCTTGTTCAAAGAAAACTCATTTATTTGAGAGAGTGAGAGGGACACACACACACACACACACAGGTCTTCCATCTGCTGGCTCACTCTCCAAATGGCTGCAAAGGCCGGGGCTGTCCCAGGAGAAGCTGGGAGCCCAGAACTCCTTCTGGGTCTCCCATGGGGACTCAAAACAGCACCCATATGGGATACCAGTGTTGCGAGCAGCGGGTAACTGACAGCACAGTGCCTGCCGTTCCCCAGCTGCCTTGTACTGTGCACTCTGGGAGGCAGTGGTGATGGTTTCAGTACTTTGGTCTCTGCCACCCACAGGGAGACCCAGATTGAATTCCCTGCTCTAGCTTCTTTGCCTGGCTCAGCCCTGGCTGTTGTGGGCATTTGGGGGTGAGCAAGTGAATGAGAGAGCTATCTCTGTCTTTCTCTCCCTCCCTTTCAAATGAACGAAATAAGTAATTTTAAATGGTTAAAATGCTACATTTTGTATGAATATTTCACTACAAAATGCAACATGTGACATGCATACACAAGTATAAAACATATATAATGTAAAGAGTAGGGTGAGCGTGCCTACAACCACCACCGAGTTAGCGTACATAACTGGGATGCTGGTCTATTAGTCCTCTGAAGAACAGACACTCTTAGGAGTTTATGTTGATCACTCCTATGCTGTTCTACCGATACAACCCTGGATAATGTACCAATTATCGTATGTATCTAAATGACTTTTGTAGGTATTGGGAGTTCTATTTCTTACGTGGAGCTATGCTTTTTATATTTTTTATTTCATTTTATTGACAGGCAATTAGACAGTGAGAGAGAGGAGACAAAGGTTTTCCTTCCGTTGGTTCACCCCCAAAATGGCCGCTATGGCCGGCGCACTGAGCCGATCCAAAGCCAGGAGCCAGGTGCTTCCTCCTGGTCTCCCACACTGGTGCAGGGGCCCAAGCACTTGGGCCATCCTCCACTGCACTCCCGGGCCACAGCAGAGTGCTGGACTGGAAGAGGAGCAACCAGCACTAGAACCTGGTGCCCATATGGGATGCTGGTACTGCAAGGCAGAGGATTAACCAAGTGAGCCATGGTGCCAGCCCCCAGAGCTATGATTTTTAGATTTACTCACATTGTATCCACATCCATATGTAGCTGAAGTTCATTAATTTTCATTGCCTTCTAAAATGCATTCAGTAACTATACCACAGTTAATCTTTACTTCTTGTGTACACATACATCAGTTGTTTTCAGTCTTGGTATCATCAACAAGGTAGTCCTGAACATTCTTGTGCATGTGTGCATGCATGTCTCTTTGAAGAAGCCTGGATCTTCTTCTGGGTCTCCCCAGTGGGTGCACTTGAGCCGTCGTCCACTGCATTCTCAGGAACATTAGCAGAGAGCTGGGTAGGAAGTGGAGCAGCCGGGTCTGGAACTGGCACCCAAATGAGATGTTAACATCACAGGTGGGGGCTTTACCAGCTACACCATACTGCTGCCCCTCCCCCCCATTGCATTTTGATTTTCCTGTCCCTTAAGGTGTCATCTCTTCATCGTTTACAGCTCATTCCATTTCCTCTTCCATGATGCGCTTGTGCAGGCTCCTGGGCAGCAGCCATGAAAGGGTAATGACCCTTAGGGACTGCAGGTAATTTCCCCACCAACAGGAAGAACAGGGTTCTTGGAGGGGACTGGGTTGGAAGCTCCAAATTCCAGGCAAGGGGGGATAATGAAACTTCTGTGCTTGCAGGCCTGAAAAATGAAACTTCCCAGCTATGAAGACAGGAAGAGTTTCAGCATGCTGGATGGAAATAAGACAAGCTCCCCCCAAGCAGGTTTCAGAATGAAAAGGAGTTCATAGGCTTGTCACCGGAAAGCCCTGGGCAGGCTAGGGCATCAAGCTCAGCTTCCCCCCAGGGTCCGGGAGGCATCAGCGCTTTGGATCCGTTTTCTTCTTCTCCTGGTTCGTCAACTCTTCATCAGACCCCAACCCCCGTGTGCCTGTGCCACTATGGAAGCTGTGACTCTCCCTCCCTCCTCCCCTGGCCCAGGCTCAGGGATCCGTCACTCTATGCTCTACTTCTATGATGTCAGCCCTTCTGTGATCCCCACACAGGGGAGATGGCCCAGCGTTTGTCTTTCTGTGAGAGCCACCCACCCGTCACCTCCATCACCTGCCCAGGGTGCACACAGGGACCAAACATCACACGGGACCAAAGCCATGCACACATGGTGAATTTTATTCATGAGAAGCATGTGCAAATGCTCAAGAAAAGTTCAGTCAGCTCAGCGGATAGCTCCTGGAGACGGGGGCGGGGCGAGGCTACTTGGGGACCACTCTGCAGCAGCTGCCAGGGCTGCTCACTTGGGATGGCAGGATGCAGCACGCCCTCAGCAGGAACCGGAGGATCCTCCTGCCGACCCCGCGACGGCCCTGCCTCTTGCCCTGGGCGCTGGCCTTGGTGTCTGTGGTGTCAGCATCCTTGGGCTCACGGGCTGTGCGGCGGCGGCTTTCTGGCTCTGCAAGGTCCACGTGGCTCCCGGCACTGGGGCTGGAGGGCGACGCTTCGGAGGCTGGCTCAGGGGCGGCGCTGGGAACAGGGCTCCACTCTTGCTGTGGCTGGCCTGGTAGGAGAGAGTCAAGTGTGGGGTCACCTTGGGGGCCTTGGGCTCAGCTCCTGGAGGCCCCGAGGCAGGGGGGAGGGTAAGACTCACTGGAGGCCTGGGAGGAGTTGGGGGCGGCGCTGGGAGCAGGGCTCCTCTCCTGCTGTGGCTGGCCTGGTGGAGAGAGTCAAGAGTGGGGTCACCTCGGGGGCCTTGGGCTCAGCTCCTGGAGGCCCCGAGGCAGGGGGGAGGGCCAGACTCACTGGAGGCCTGGGAGGAGTTGGGGGTGGTGCTGGGAGCAGGGCTCCTCTCCTGCTGTGGCTGGCCTGGTAGGAGAGTCAAGAGTGGGGTCACCTCAGGGGCCTTGGGCTCAGCTCCTGGAGGCCCCGAGGCAGGGGAGAGGGCAAGACTCTCTGGAGGCCTCGGAGGAGTCGCTTTGTGCGGAGGAAATATTGACAGACATGCTTTCAGAGGACACTGATACCACAGACAAGCGGTCCTTCTCTGTGGGGTGGCGCTCCCCGCCCTGTGAGGACTCGGGCAGGGATGCAGGGCCCTGGGGCTAAGGGCCTGGCGTCCCCTCAGTCCCCGTGCCTGGCAGCAGGCCGAGGCCCGCCAGGTACTCCTTGGCCTCTGAGTCGCGGGGAAGCCCAGGGGCTGCAGCAGGGTGACAGCGGCCTCCTTCTCCTCCTGGGTGGCTTCTCGGCCGGAATCGAACCACCAGTGTGCCCTGGCATCCTCTGCACTGGGCCTCCCCGAGGCGTGGACAGTGAGCAGCCAAGCCAGTAGCTCCCGAAGGGCCGGGCTGACGGCACGCGGCAGCACATAGCACACAGCACCGTGTCCTGCAGCTCCTCCGTGTCCTTGCCGCGGCAGCGTGGCCGCCAGCATGGCAAACAGCACCACTCCCAGGCTCCACACATCAGCCTTAAAAGCGTCATAGGCCTCCCCGAAAACCTCTGGTGCGCAGTACTCGGGGGTCCCCCAGAAGCCCCTTACCAGTGTGCCCTGCTCCAGCCGCAGGCTCAGGCCGAAGTCCGCCAGCTTGATGGTCATGTGCTCGTCCAGCAGCAGGTTGTTGCCCAGCTTGAGGTCCCGGTGCACCACGCGCTGGGCATGGCAGTAGCTCACGGCGGCCAGCGCCTGGCCGAACAGGGTCCTGGCCTCGGCCTCGGCCAGGCCGCCCTGCTCAAACACGTAGCTCTGGAGCGAGCCCTTGGTCGCCAGCTCCATGACCAGGAACCGGTGCGTCCTCGTGTGCCGCTCCTCCAGCAGCCGCACGATGTTGTCGTGCAGGCTCCTCAGGATGGCTGCCTCCCCCTGCGCGGACAGCGGGCTGCTGGGAGAGCAGTCTCGCAGGAGGATCTTCACTGCCACGTACTTGCCCGACGCCAGGTGCCGGGCCAGCTTCACCAGGCCAAAGCCGCCCCGGCCGATTACGTCCACAAAACGGATCCCATCCAGAGGAGGATGGAAGTCCAAGGGGTCTTCCATGATGCCGGTCACCTAACTACGCTCTCTCGACTCCCTAAATCACTCGACCACACTAGCTAATCACCGATCCTCACTGCACTGCCTACAACACAAAGGGACCACGGGGGACTGACTACCCAGCTGACTAAGACACAGCACCAGCTACTCTCACTACTCTAGCGGCGATGCCGCAAGCCTATCTCAATAATGCAGAAAAAACAAAGAGGAAAAGCCACTAAATCCTCGAACGCTGATACTTCTGAGTGTGCTAGCTGACTAGAGTGGGGGAAGCAAAAATAAAGAAAACTGCAAAAAAAGACCAAATGGGCAAAACAACAACGAGGAGGAAAACAACAAACTAAACAAAATGGAAAAAAGCAAAAACCAAATAGACCCAGAAACAAACAACCAAGAAAAAGCACAAGCAACACCAATGAGCGCAAAGGCTGGTTAGATGGGTCCTAGTTACACAGATCACAAAAGAGTGCTCTCTGGGTAAGGCGGACAAAAATCTAGGCCCCCGTAGCAGCTATATATACTTTTTGGGGGTTCACCTCACATAATGGCGCCTTGTGAGAGCAGAGCAAGAAATGGACCAGTCACAGCCCAGCCAGGGACTGTGTAATATGACTTTCATAACAGTGGTGACTTATGAAGTCAGAGCAAGAAATTGACCAATGGGAGCTGTAGTTCATCCACAGTGGTTTTTCTCGATAATCTTCCAATAAAATTAAAACGATACCCAAAGAGTTTTTGGCCTAGGTTGGTGATAGGGCTTGATACTTAATTTTTGAGAAACTCCAACCTATAGATTGCTTGGGTGGCCTTCTCATTACTAGTTTAAATATGATGATACGTTGCATCTTTTGAAGACCTCCTAGTGTCTCCACTTAGTATAGCCCCTCCTTTGTCTTTACTCTCTGAGTGATGGGTCTCAGAATGATGGAACAACATCTCTGGCCTCGGTAAACTCAACAAGTGTTCTGCTGCCCAAGACACCGCCAGGTACACTGTTCGCACCTCCAGAGCTGAGAGGAAGGTGGCTCTGTCACCCTTTCCCCCTAAGTCATCGTCAGATTTCTTGGCAGAAACCCTGGAAGCCCAGAAGGTAGTGGGGTCTGTGCAGTCCAAACATGGAAGGCCCAATCAGAGGCAGCCGAGAAAGCTACATCCTCTGAGACTGTCCTCCACCCGGTAGGGAGGAATCGAGGCACTGCCAGGCACTTGGGGTTTTTGGGCTCCTGTAACAACAACCACCAAAACTCCTGGCTCCTGGCTTCAGCCTGGCCAAGGCCTGGAGGTCATTTATGGGCTGTATCAGAGGATGGAGGAGCTCCCTAGCTCCCTCTCCCTAGCTCCCTCCCTCCCTCTCTCTCTCTCTCTCTCTCACTAGCACTCTCTCTTTCCCCTCTTCACTCTCACACACATAGAATGCAACTTAGGAAAAAAGGAGAAACTCCCTGCTTCAACTCCTCAGGTCCTGCACAGAACTAGGACGGGACGATGGCCGCATCACAGCCTCACATCTGTCTCCTTGGGACAGCTTCGTGCTGAGCCCTCAGGAGCAGTGTTTCTCCCAAGGAAGCGACAAACTCATCTGTCGCTCCCCGTCTTCATGGGGGAACGACACTAAACCCTGCCTAGGCTTCATATCCGAGTCACGGCACCATTATGTCGCTCCCCGTCTTCGTGGAGGAACGACACAGGACCCTGCGCTGTTCTTTCGTCTGCTCGGCCCTCCCCGGGTTTGCTGCTGGTTCTTCCCGGGGTGGCTACCGTCCCTTCCACCTCCGTGGAAGGGCGGTTCCCCCTGCCACATTCCCCACTTCCGCGGGGGCGGCACACCGCCGGCCGGCTCTCTCGGGGGCTGCACAGGTGTTCCCCTTAGATGTTCCCCTTAGATGTTCCTGGTGCATGCCGTCTCTCTCCTCCTTTATAGTCCTCTTCCACCAATCCCAACTCTGCTACCCACACGCCGAGTACGCTGCTCTCCTCCAATCAGGAGCAAGTCCTACAGTTTATTGGCTGAACTGGAGGCAGCTGTGTAGAAGCTGTTTTCTTCTCTCCCAGCGCCATATTGTGGGAGAGCAGATGCATAGAATAAGTCTTAATTCCAGTAACTTAGTCTAGTCCGAGTTGCTCCCCACACTCATCTCAGGTAGGAAGTGAGCCCGGTAACCCTTGCCCCCACATAGCAAGTGGATCTGTGTCTCCTGCAGTTCTTGAGGAGCCCCCAGGGCCCAGCACAGCCATGGGCCCCAGGAACACATGATGGTCCCTCTGCACCGACTGCCCACACCCTCTTGGGAGAGGAACCCCTCCCTGGGGAGATGACCCCCTCCTCCAGGATGTCCAGGGACACTGCACAATGCGATTTCTCCATGATTTCCTGCAGTGCTGGTCACCTCCTCAGGGCTGAGAGGAAAGAACCAGCACCCCAGGAATTCTCACTACAGTTTTGCTACAAAAGTCAAAAAAATTAAATTATGAAGACGTTGGGGACTGTTTTCCATTAAGCACAGGTAAAAACTCATCTTTGTAATAAGGTTGGAGTTTTTGAAGGCAGATCAAATAAAGATGAAACTCAGGATACTACCAAAACATCACCAGATATAGAATTCAAAATTTATTTAGGTGCAAAAACTTTTGAAAACCTGTGCATAGTTTGTCCTTAACATACTTTGCCCGTGAATGTTTTGTATCCCCTCTCCTATGCGTGAATTTCAAAAACTGCAACAAATAAGCTCATCCTTTATTTCCATTTTCCATGAGGTTTTCCAAGTCCCTTCAAGTAACCCAGTTCGAGGAAAAACAGAGTTCCCATCCGGACTGCAAAACAGCGTCGGCAAGGACGAGAGACACACCACAGCTCTCCTTCTCATCACTCCTCCCCAGTGCTGGTGGGAGCCTTGCAGACCCATGTGGTTTTAGAAAATTCATCTCCCCCAAGGTAAGTGATGGCCCTGAGGACTCTGTGTCCCCCAGCTCTGCTCAGCAGTAGCCTGAACATGCTGTGGAAAGTCCTATCTTGTCCACGCTGGACTAAAATGAG